CTGTATTTGTTTGAAGAGCCTTGTAGTGCAGTGGTTAAACTGCTGTACTGCAGCCAAAACTATGCTCACAACCTAGGGTTCAATCCCAGGTAGCTGGCTCAAGGTTCACTCAGCCTTCTATCCTTCTGAGGTGGGTAAAATGAGCACTAAGCTTGCTGGCGGGGGAGGGGGAATAATTAACTTGTAAACTGCCAGAGTGTGCTTGAAGTGCTATGGGGCGGTATATATAAGCAGCACGGTTGCTGTTTGTTTGTGGGTTTCCAGTAGGCCACTGTGGAAAGAGAAGTATGCCTTAGGCTTGACCCCTGCAGGGCTCTTCTTATGTTCAATTTATTCACAAGATGGTTAAGTATTCCCAGTGGGACCAACCGGTATTCACAAAATAGTATATAAGCTTTTGAATTGCATAGAACATTTTCTCAGGTGAGGTCCATCCCTCAGCTCCTGTGTGTTTCAGCCTTAGGAGGAGGATTAAATGGGAGAGATTTCTACAGATGTGGACAGCTTAGCAGTGGGCTCTGAGCAAATCATAGCCACTTTCCAGTGTGCTTTTCTTTGTTCTCAAGGAGTAAATGTAGGGGCTTTTGTTCTTTTCTGTTCTTCCCATTTTGCAAAATAAGCATTTAATATGGTGGCTTTTCTTAAGAGACCCCAGAGAGAAGTTTGCCACTAATTTTCCTGACAGACACCCTGGGGCTTTTCACCACTGTATGGCAAGCTAGTGTGCAACAGGTGAATCTTTTCAGGTTGTTGAAATTCCGCTAGCAAAGGAGATGGGATGCCCTGTTAGAATGACAGCACCCAAACAACAAAGAGCCAGGAAAGCTAAGACCATACTTATACCCTGTGGTGCCCTGGGCCCCCCTAAGGAGCACCTAGCACTCGGTCAGAGAGTTCGACAGGCCACTTACCTACCACCTTTGTGCTGAGGCAAGTCCGAAGACCTCAGCAGTGCGTAACGTAAACCCTTTGAACAGGTCTGACCTTAAAAAAAAAGCACTTTACTTTTACCCAGTGCTTTGCAAGTACAGACACATGGGCTTTGTGATTCCTCAGAACTCACAACAGCTCAGTTAGGTAGGACACTTAAAGATAGCTAGTTTGTGGCCTTCTTCACCTCCTGCATTTAGCCAGACCCTGCTGTTCAAGAGACCAGTGCTTTATAAGGATTTTTATAATTAATTTTTATTAGAAAAATAAAGTTTCATAGAATCAATTTATATTGCACAAGCTTTAGCATAAAGAACATATTCAAAGATTGTTACAGTTAAATAAAATAACTATTTCCCATTAAAACAATAAACACTACTAAGCTGGGCTGAGGTGGGCTACAGTGGGCTAGCCCCACCTTCTTTCTCTTTACTTACATCCTCTCTCAATCAAGTTCCTTTCTCTCCCATCATCATGGAATCGAATCCCAGAACAAGACTTCTGAACCACAACCACATAACCCATCATCCATTTTTCTACATTCTCTAACTCCTCCCTTCTTGACAATTCTGGCTGTTAACCAATTAGCCTCAAGGGGCTGTAACATCTTCCTTCTCCTCCTTTAATTCCTGTGAAAGTTCAGGTGTTTTCTCTTCTTCAGTTAGCTCAGAATGTTGAGTCTTCCGCGGGCCTCTTTTCCCCGACCTTCAGCTTATCACTAACCATACCGGTCTTTAGAAAAACACTCTCGTAGCACTTAGAAACAAAGATGATTTGTCTCTCAAATCATCTTCACACAGAGCCCGTCTGACTCCATCTTACATTTCTCTGACTACATATCCCATCATCATGAAACACCCCAGCAAGGAAATTTCTCTTGGTCCCTTTGTATTCTAGGCAAAATTGTCCCTCAGTGTATAGACAAAAGAGAGAAAAAATATATTTCGCAAAGTAACGGTTTTTGTCAGCAGAAGATAAAAAGGAGTGAAAATGAAAAGTGTGTATAATATCACAGCGGCTCACATTCCTAAACTGATATGTTGCAAACCAAAAAGATTTTCAGGACAAAAGCTGCAAAACATGCTTCATTTAATTTGTTACTGCTTTTCTTTAACAATTCACTAGAGTCTCCCAGTGTTAGGCTGTTACCTACCCACCAGCCATGCAAATAACTACTCTCCTGTCCCTGCTTCTTTAATAGCTTACAGCAGCATAGGTGGCTCATGGACAGAGCAGGGAGTTGCCTGCCCCACAATTTCGTGGTGAAGCAACCCCTACTTGTGCCTGCCCACAAGCCATTTCACCTAGCTAGGACTCGCCAGGGCCTAGCCCTTGAGAATCGCAAGAAAATAACAACAAAAATACCTCCAGTCACATACAGGCGCCTACATACATGGCCAACCTTCCCCAACACAAGCCCTTCCAGTGCTCTTGGTTTACAACTCCCATGATCCCTGCCAGCTGGGAGTAATGGGTGATGGCGTTCAACACTAGAGGAACACAGGCTGAGCAAGACTGTATGAAAATTAACCAAGATGTGCCCTGTGGCTCAGGGCATAGATTTTCAAGTGAGCATAAGTTCCAGCTCACTTTTTTAAAAAATCAAATTACTGTGAGTTTTATTTATTCTCTTCCCCACTTTATATGAAACCTTATCAGGTTCCCAGTCCATTTCATGTATCTGATGAAGACTACTCCACAGCTGGCCTAAGCCTGGTGGGGTGTCCAGTTTTACTTTTAACATCACCAGTCATATGACATGCTGAGAACCATAACAAGAGCATCTTCTATAATCAAGGGTAGAGATGTACAGGCTTGTGGGTGGTTGGAATATTTATGTATTTAAAACATTTTTACACTGCCTTTTTCCTTAAGTACAGGCTTGTGGGTGGTTGGAATATTTATTTATGTACTTAAAATATTTTTACACTGTCTTTTTCCTTAAGAAGGACCCAAGGTGGCTTACATCATTAAAAGACAATATGTAAAGCTAAAAACAGTAAGCATACACATACTAAAAAACAAATGCCACTTTAAGAAATGGGAAACTGCAGAATTCCTAAGGCACAGGCTTGTGGGTGGTTGGAATATTTATTTATGTACTTAAAATATTTTTACACTGTCTTTTTCCTTAAGAAGGACCCAAGGTGGCTTACATCATTAAAAGACAATATGTAAAGCTAAAAACAGTAAGCATACACATACTAAAAAACAAATGCCACTTTAAGAAGTGGGAAACTGCAGTATTCCTAAGGCACCTAGAGTACAGTACAAGGAAAGGAAAGGAAAGAATCCACAAATCTTAGTATCTCTAATGAACAGCCTAAATCAGGGTTGGATAATACCTTTACTGGACCACTTAAGGCAAAGTTTCAAGTTCACTGTAACTCTTCATTAGGGTGTGTATTACTGAACTCGGGGGACCAAAAATGTGATGTTCGTCTTTACATTTTTGTAATGCCAGCGGTGCCCATAGACAGCAAGCTGCCAAAGGCTATCAGAGGGATCCCCTAAGCCAGTCTCCAGGGTTACTAGATTTGCAAATTCCAGCATTTCTCAATGTTGGCTGCATTGGAAGGGGATGGTTGGATTTGTCGTCAACCAACATTTTGGTTCTCCGCTGTGCCTCTTTGACAGTGGCTGGGCTCAGTGATCCATACGTAGGCTCCCTTCCAGCTGTGCAATCTTAAGATCTGAACAATGGTTCCCAACCTTGGGCTACCAGGTGTGCTTGGACTAAATCTCCCCAGAAGCCTTCACCGCTAGTTGTGTTGGCCAGGATTTCTGGAAGTTGTAGTCCAAGAACATCTGGGGGCCTGAGGTTGAGAACCACTTGGTTATAACATCTGGATGGCTAGAGGTTGCTGATCCCTGTTCTAGACACTGGCTGTAAAATCGCCCCAGCCAATCTCCCCCTTAAATCACAATACAGTACCTCTTATGTTGTTTCATTGATCTATTCTCTCTGAAATACTTGCCTGTGTTCTGGAAGTCCCAAGAAACTGGGCTATGATACCATACCTATGTACCTTGAAGTAGAGGCTATGCCCACGAAAGCTATGCCTACAAAAACTCAAGTCAGAAAAAAAATAGCCAAGAAGAAGAAAAATGTCATCGTTCCCATACCGGGAGTCGAACCCGGGCCGCCTGGGTGAAAACCAGGAATCCTAACCGCTAGACCATATGGGAAGGACATACTATGAACTGCTTCGCCGCTCGTACTTAAAGTGAAACACCTACGGTGACTTGCACTCGCCCCCTACTGGAGGAAAATGAACCTGCAACGCGAAGAGAGGGGTTTCTCTTTACAGAGCGCGGGTGCTTTGAATTCTGGAATGCTGTCCTAATTGTGTTTACTCATAAGTAAAGCGCCTTGATTTCAATGGATGCTAACTTAAGCTTTCCGACTGAAGGGAGGCTTCGGAGGTCGTCCGGAGCTTTGTTGGTAGGGGTTACGTTTCCCATCATCCACACGCAGGTCAAACCTATGCACACGTGCTCAGAAGGGACTCTAATGGAGTTGTTCCTGTGCCAATCGACTCACGGCGACCCTAGGCACGACCGATCCCCCAAATGTCCTGCCCTCAAGCTGTCCTGCTCCGCTCTGTGAGGCTCAAGCCTTTTTAGGGAGTCAATCCCTCTCACATGTGGTCTTCCTCTTGTCCTGCTGCCTTCCACTTTTCCCAACGTTATCGTCTTTTCCAGAGAATCCCGCCTTCTCATGAATGTGCCCAAAGCAGGACAGCCTCAGAGGCATCGTTTTTGCCTCCAGGGATACAGTTCAGGCTTGATTTGACCTAGGACCCCCTTCTTCGCCTTTCTGGCAGTCCTACGATGTCCTCCAGGGAGTTCTCTCCCAGGAATGTTGATGCCTCCAAACAGGGACAGCAGCCTCTGTTGCTTTTTTTTGACCGCCCGCACTCCCACAACGACCCCTCCTCTGATGCCTCAGGAAAGGGCCCGGGAGGGCGGGAGGACCGACCGCTCATTGCGGCTTAAGTGCCTACACCTGCCAGAGGCCTCCGCGCAAAGCTGCGCTCTTTAAAAGGCGGCCTGGAGGCGGGCTCCGTTTTGAGCTCTCCTCTCAAAGTGGTTTTTGCGGATTGAGTCGACTTTGGAGGGAGAGATTTTTTTTTGTCTAGGAGTCTTTGTCCCGTTACTGTCCCACCAAAATGGGGTGGTGGTGCCTTGCAACAAGGTGAGTGGGAGTTGAGAAATTGGCTTTTCTGTATACATTTCAGGCACTTAATCCTTAATGCATGTTTTTATCTTTAGGGTGCTTGTTGTTGGTTAAGTTTTCTGGCTGGTTGGCTTTTGCTGTTCTAATACTTTTGTACTGTTCTGTCTATCCACTTTCGTTTAGAAATCTGTGGTTTTTATTGCTTTTACACTTGTAAACTGCTTGAAGCCTATTGATAATGAGCTAACATACGTGCACATTTATTCCTTTCTCAATGTGCAAAGATGCAGCCAACTGTCAGTATGCTTAAATAAACCGGTATACATAAATGTATATAAAAAGTGGTGTTAATATTTAACTCTGTTAATTGATTTGTTGAACTCAGTAGGAGTTAGGCTGGTCATGACTATCAGTTAATTAATGTCATGCTGCCGGTTGACCAAGTCTAGATCCGAGCTGTGGAAGTAACTAGTTCCAGAAAGGTACTTGAGAAAGTAACTCATTAGAAACCCTCAACTAGGCAGTTACTAATATGGTTAAAGAAATTGAAAGGTGCTTTTTCTGCTTCTCAGAATAATTACAATAATAAAACCATTTGAGTTGGGAGCACTATGAGTTAATATTTGAGCCATGTGATATTCCCCCATTGTTTAGTGAGGCCACACTGCCCAGGTAAGTAAAACATCGGGGTTATACAACAAAAGAAATGAAACCTTCTTAATTATGCCTTAGCTATTGGGAAAAAGGAGATTTAGTTATAAAGTGTCCCCAGGAGGAGGAGGTAGTAAACTACTTCTGGATACTATATGTCAACAAAACCCTACAAGGGGTAGTTACAATTTGGGATTAAATTGGTGGTACGTGAAAACAAAAAGTGCCCCCCCCCAAAAAAAAATCCCAAGAACCAAACACTATTTGTAAGAAGTTATTTCCACTGTTCATATGTAGACATGTGAACGCTGTATATATTATAAAGCCAGAATGAGTCTTGATCCCACGATTCCTGAACATAGGTAGAACTGTTATGGAAATTTTTCTGGGTATGTGAAAGAGCAGGACTCGAACTGGAGCAATTAAGTACTGTAATCTAAATTTCATGGTCTGTTTCCTTTGCTTTAGATAACACTATATTATCTCAGACACTCAAAAAATATGGTAAACTAGTCCTATTGGGACATGGTGGCGCTGCGGGCTAAACCGCAGAAGCCTGTGCTGCAGGGTCAGAAGACCAAGCAGTCGTAAGATCGAATCCACGCAACGGAGTGAGTGTCCTTCACTTGTCCCAGCTCCCGCCAACCTAGCGGTTCGAAAGCATGCAAATGCAAGTAGATAAATAGGGACCACCTTGGTGGGAAGGTAACAGCGTTCCGTGTCTAAGTTGCACTGGCCATGTGACCACAGAAGATTGTCTTCGGACAAACGCTGGCTTGGAAACGGGGATGAGCACCACCCCCTAGAGGCAGACACGACAGGACAAAAATTGTCAAGGGGAACCTTTACCTTTACCTTTAGTCCTATTGCATGTAGATATCCTAATTCGGTAGGATCTTTAGCCTCCTACTGAGATGGCACCACAGACTGATACTTATACAGAATAGGAAGAAAGGAAATAGGAGAAAAAAAATGCAAATTATCCATAGGCTAAATAGTCCTTCTGAGGTCAGGTCGATGGCCACCCCGTACCTCTGAGCACATGTCACAGAACAGAGGTGGACTCACCATTGTCTTCACTGGGCTGGGCTTGCCCCTTCTGTGTGCACGGCTTGCGTCTCCTACCTGTGGCCAACTACCTCACTCTGTCTCTAGGTAGGGACACCGTTTGTCAAAACAGCCAGGATGCCTTGGAGGGAATCCTTCATTTCTCTGTCTCTCTCTTTCTGTTGGTTCAGATGCCTCTATGAAATGTCACTGTTGTTCCATGATTGTCTTCCAGGCTGGTTCTTGTTGTCCTTCTGGCTCCTAGAGTGTGGCTTCAGTTTATTCCTACAACAGGTACAACGGAGGGGGGGGGAAGGAATACTAAATGTCCTCACTGTAAAATTTAGTAAGGGTATGACTTGTGCATGCATAATAAAGGAAGTACCCTCACTCCTAAGTGGCTGAAGTATGTGTACTGCACAAGAGGTAGGATCTGTGGTTTCCCAAGGCCTATTCCCTAACTTGGTGCTTTGTACTACAAGCCCCATCAACCTTGCCCAGCACAGCCAGTGGCCGAAGATGGGAGGAGTCCAATATACCAGGAACCTGTAAGTTGGTGATACCTGCCCTAAGATTCCCAGGACCGGGCAATTGCTGGCATCCACAAATGGAGCTACTGGTGCCCTTGAAGTCTAGTCCTGCCGAGGTATTTTACGCTGCTGCTACCACCTCCAGTTTCTCTAGGTTCTCCCCATGCAGAACAAATCAGACTATCACTTGGTAACCCAGCAGCCTGGGGTGTAAAACACAGTCACACAACAGTGGAGGTAGAGAAATGGATAAACTTCAACAAACGAGAAAGAAAAAAGGAAATCCTGATGAGGATTTGGTTTATATGCTTCCCAAACCCAGGTCTGCAGGTTATCCTATGAGGTGTGGGTTAGTCTGGAAAGTGGGGGTGCTGCCACTGTTTTCTCTCCCCCCCCCAAAAAAAAATCTTCTACCTGAGAACGCTGCTCTGATCTTTCTAATGACCGCAGGGCTAGCTCCTGCTGCCTGCTTTTGAACTGGCCCGTCTGGCCGTGCCTCTTTCTATGTGGGGAACTCTTAAAAGACAAGGAGGCAAAGAGGGTGAAGGCCAAAGTAGGAATGGAGATTTCTGCTAAAGAATAAAAGGATTATTGAGCTAATTTAGTGGGCCTGTTGAGCATTTTCAAAGCATTGCCCCCCCCATACACACACCCCTCTGATGGTACTCCCTGACTCTCTTGGCTCATGCTGACTAGAGGCTACTGTTGACTAGACTGGCCCACAACTCTTCTTCCTTCTTTGCTTTTTCAGGTCAGGTAAAGGTAGACTGCCTAGGCAGTCTTGCCAGACTAAAACTGAATTCAGGCTATTTCCAGCACAAGTACATCAGCCTTGCTGCTATCGGTGAGTTCTGATATTCTTCCTGCTTTAAATGGGTGAAACACTAACCTTGTGTGATGCATGCAAGAAATGTATGGAAGCTGCCATCAGGGCATCTTAAACCCTCTCTAGGTTCTAGATCTAGACGGTGGCCAGATGTTGTCTTTCACATGCTTGCCTCGGGGTGAACAAGATGCAACATTAAATGTGTAATGTGTTCCTCCCAGGAGAATAATGTGCAGTCCTCCATATGTTGCTGGCCTTCATCTCCCACCCTCCTTAACCAGAACAGCCACTGGTTGAGAGTTTGTGGGAGATGTAGTAGAAAAACATCAAAAAGGCCACACATTCCTAAAAGCAGGTTTTCTTTTTCACATGAGAGTGAGCGTGCTGGGCAACCTGATTTGGCACAGGTAAGAGGCTTTATAAGCAACATTTCTGAATAAATGTACATATATATGCACATGGTGGGAGATGGGCTAGGATAGGAGATTCTTTTCTTTCTAAATGTGGGGAAAAGACGAATCAACCAGCAAAACAAAAACATGTATATTGCAAACTACTGGCTCAGAGGAAAGGGGTAGCCTTCCCTATCCTTGTGTGATCTGGATGAGACTGGAACTTTTAAAATGACATGGTATGCCTTTAAGTGCAGCATGTAGGTAAAGACAGCTTCTTACAACATGGGTGGGGAGCCTCAGTTGTGCTGGAGAGGATGCATATTTTCCCACATCTAACTTAAAGAATCATTTAACCAGTGGATTCCTCAAAGGATGCAGGATTTTTTCCCACTGGTGCATCATGCTTCTTGGTGAGCATTGCCACCAAATATTAAGAGCTGTGGAGCAACAGATGGTTGGCATGAAGCACCTGCTGAGGCTGCCCCTTCTTCAATGGCCAGGCCACTGCTAGCATTGACACCTCTGTGACAAAGCAGAAGAGGTGAGGTGTTATTTTTAGGTGTTCTCTATTGCTTGGTTTAGAATGGGCAATGAACACCCATTGGCTTCACAAAAGACCTGTTGCCAACAATAATGAGAACTGTTAGAATTGGGTCTGCTGCCCTTGTTTCTCCAGAAATGTATTTGTGTGTGTGTGTGTGAGAGAGAGGGAGAGCATATGGGCGCACATAGAAACAAAGGGCTAGGCATCTATGGATTTTCCATGGTGTTAAGTAAGTGAGGAATATTTTCATTAGAAATGCTTAAACTGAAGATGACCTAATGCACAGCAGTCACACATGATGGAAATGCTAAATAAATTATATGACAAATGAGCATGAAATATTGGTTATGATGTTCTATAACAACAGATATAAACCCAGCAGAATAATAATAATTTAAAAAATTAATAAACTTAAAGATAAGAAAAAGAGATGGTCTAAGGGAATGGAAGACTACTTACTATAATTTATTTTCTTTTGTATGATTTAACTTTTTAATATAATTGCAATATAAGTGTATAAGCAGATGTAAGAATACTTTTCCCCCTCTGGAATTTTATCCTTTTCCCACCCTTTCCTCTTCCCCTTTACCTTGTCCTTTGTTCATACCTAAACCCATATACTTTTGAAAAATCAATAAAAAGCCCCAGAAGGGAAAAAAAGAAAAGAAACGCTTAAACTTTGAAACAAAGACTTGATATATGGTTTCCTCACTCCAGTCCTTCCTCAGCCTTGCCGTGTCACAGTAGAAAGTACCTTTTCTCCTGAAAATTTCCAGCCTAGAGATGGTGCTGATAAATAACTTGGGGTAGTGGGGCTTCCAACTCCCAAACTTTGACCAGTCAAATTATTGTCAACACACAAAATCACTGTGTGTGTGATCTGAAACGCCGCCTCCTTTTCTGAAAGCTCCACATCTTTGTTCTTCCAGACAAGTTTGGCAGGGCTTGGCCATTAGATGCTGTTCTGGCTACAAAATGTGGATACACCATCTCTCAGGATGTCTGGGGAAACGTTGAACTCCGTGCCTCCCTGA